ATATAGATAGATAGATAGATAGATAGATAGATAGATAGATAGATGATAGATAGATAGATAGATAGATAGATAGATAGATGATATAGATAGATAGATAGATAGATAGATAGATAGATAGATAGATAGATAGATAGATGATAGATAGATAGAGATATAGATAGATATAGATAGGAGAGAGGTAGATGGATGGTAGATGATAGATATAGATAGATGGATAATAGATAGATGGATATATAGATATAGATAGATATAGATAGATAGATGGATAATATAGATAGATAGATAGATAGATAGATAGATAGATAGATAGATAGATGATAGATAGATAAGATAAGATAGATAGATATAGATAGGAGAGAGAGGTAGATGGGTGATAGATGATAGATATAGATAGATGGATAATAGATGGATAGATGGATATAGATAATAGATACAGATGGATGGATGGATAGATAGATAGATAGATAGATAGATAGATAGATAGATAGATAGATAATAGATATAGATGGATAGATAGATATAGATGGATAATAGATAGATAGATAGATATAGATGGATGGATAGACAGACCGACTGACTCTCCCCCAGAACCCAACTTGGCTTTGCTCCTTCAAGAAGGCCGCATGGAGGTTACCTTGGAGTAAAGCGGATCCTTGCAAGGATCGTCATTTTGCTCTTCCTTTCCTTGTCCCCCCACGACGAGAACTGCTTTCTATGGAAGGAAGAACACACAAAGAAACAGGCTCCAGATGTCAGGTGGCTGAGGGGAACATGGGAACCTCTTCAAAAGGAAACAGAGGAGCAAGGATGATCACTAGAAGGCGCTGGAGGGGAGGCGTTCTCTGCTGGGGGAGGGTCCATAGACCTCTGGGGGCTGGAGGGGGGGGGCTGGGCGCGGCGGTATCTGGTGGTACGTGAGTTACATTCCTTGAAGTAAAAGCCTGTCTTTGTGTGCAGGACACGGGGAAGCTGCGGATTGGGACCTACACGGGAGCACACCAGCACTGCGCGGTCTACTCTGGAGGTGAAGTTGCCTGGGCACCATCCCTCTGCGCCTGCTGCCTTTCCGATAGAAGCCGGCCCCTCTACACCCCTCGGGAAGGAGCACCTTGTGCTCCTCACGGCAGGTGGACGGGAGAATAGCTAAGGCCTCCCCTGCCCAGCAGAGTCAAATGCTGATAGCTGAGAACTATGCCAGGTTTAGAAAGTGCTGAATGCCCTTCCAGCCTTCGTGACAAAACGGACAGGTGGGCAGAAACCGGTCGGGGGTGGCACACACCCACTTTCTGGCAGCAGGAGAGACCCGGAGCCTTCCGCTCTCCGATTCTCCAACTCCGGGGAGCCATTATTCTCTGGAATTGGACAGCAGGCATCTCTTTTCCATTCCCATGGCAAGATGGGGTAACCCCCCCCCCCAATTCTCCAGTCTCTGTGGGTGTGGAGGACTGGCAGCAAAGTAGATGTTCAACCCGTGGTGGTGATTGCGCATTTCGCGCGTGCGCCCAGCTTCCCAAAGACCAGCTGAGGCCTCCACCACACCCATCAGCTGAGGGGATCAAGAAGGGGAAAGGCGCAGGGGCCGGTGGGAGGGCCAATCCTGCGCTTTTCTCTTCTTCATCCCCTCAGCTGGTCGTCATACCTGTTGGACCAACCGGTAGCATTTTTTGCAACCGGTTCGATTGAACCGGGCTGAATCGGTAGCACTTCACCACTGATGTTCTCCCTCCTTCGCCTTTGATCCCCCGTGAGAGCTGGCAGCCAGAAGACCGGTTGCCGTTCCTTCTGCTGTTGGGTGGGCAGACATGGCAGCCGTGGCTTTGGGGCACGCCCCTTGCCCGAAGGTGGCCCAATAGGAGAGGCCCCTTGGGATGAATGACGGCTCCACAGGGGTCTGAGCTGGCAGAAGTGGGAAAAGCCCCTCCCCTGAAGTGGAACGAGGGGCAAAGGCCGGAGACGGCCTCCTAAGACTGGACTCTGTCCTTTCCACTCTTACTAAATACAGTCAGTCCTCAGCTTATGACCACAGTTGAGGCCAACATTTCGGTGGTGAATTTTGCCACATTTTTATGGCTTTTCTTGCCATAGTTGTTAAGTGAATCACCACTGTTGATAAGTTGCTCACCTGGTTGTTAAGTGAATCTGGCTGCTTCATTGATTTCAGAAGGTTGCAAAAGGGGATCATGTGACCCCAAGGGGACCCTGTGGTCGTCATGAGTTTGAATCATGGCCAAGCGTCTGAATTTTGATCAGGCGATCATGGGGATGCTACAAAGGTCATAAGTGTGAAAAACGGCCATAAATTACTTTGTTCAGTGCCATTGTAACTTGGGTCACTAAATGAACTGTTGTAAGTCCAGGACTCCCCCTAGATTGAAGATGGTGGCGGAGGCATTCCTGGTGCTGGCGTGAATTGCCCCCAACATGCCAGGAGTCGTGGCCCACATGAGCAGTACAATCCGCATAACCCAGGATAGAATTGTGGCTAATAGGTTAAAAAAAGCAACAATTGCCCACAATTAACATATGTGAGAGTGAAACGGGTCCCCCCGATTCCAGGCTCCTCGGACACGATATGTGACCTCCTGGGCGTGAAGGGCAAGGAGATCCTTTACATCGGGGACCACATCTTTGGGGACATCCTCAAGTCTAAGAAGAGGCAAGGATGGCGAACGTTCCTGGTGGTCCCGGAAGTGGCGAAGGAGCTGCAAGTGTGGACGGAGAAGAGTGGTGAGCTCAGGGGTGGGATTCCAAGATCCCAGCCACCGGTTCGCTGCCCAATTGCTGGGTGGGCGGGGCCATGGTGGGTGTGTCCTTCCCCAGAGTCCGGAGGCTTCCCTTGGGTTTCTGGGAGGACAAAAACGGCCTGCCCAGACCTCTGGAGCCCCTCCGGAAGCCAGAAATGAGCCCGTTTCTGGACTCCCAGAACTTCCAGCCTCCACGCGGACCCTGCACTTACCTGCATCCAAAATGGGCCAGGTGGAGACTCCGGGGAGGGGCGGGGTGGGCGGGGCCAGCAAGTCAGTTCAACTACTGGTTCAACAAAGCAGGTGCAAATGTAACCTCCGGTTCGCCTGAACCAGTCCGTAGAATCCCACCCCTGGGTGAGGTTCCATCCCCCTGTGGGGCTAGAGGCGGCCCCAGGGGTCTCCTACAACCTTGCTGAGGGCCTCTTGCTGGCACTGGTGGCTCAGTCCCTGTCCGACCGTCCATCCCTGGTGTGATCTCTCTCCCTGGCTAGAGCCTGCGCTCCTTTCAGAGGCCGTTCAGTTGCCTACCTGAGAAAGCCATGGTGCCCTCCGTCCCGGGCAGCTGCTCCTCCAGCCGGTTTTCCTGACCCTTTGGACCATCAGCTAAAGGAGAGGTCTCCAAACTTGGCCCCTTGAAGACTTGTGGACTTCAACTTCCAGAGTTCCAGCATAGCTGGCTGGAGGACTCTGGGAGTTGAAGTCCACAAGTCTTCAAGCGGCCAAGTTGGGGGACCCCTGAGCTAAAGGCCCTTTTCTCTTCACAGAACTCTTTGACGAGTTGCGGCGCCTGGATGCGCTCTTGGCTGAACTCTACCCGTGAGTAAGACCTGTTTTGACCCACTAGCCCTTTGCCTGGGTGGTCAGGGGAGGTTTGCCTGCTTTGGCTGGGCCTCCGTCACAGGCTTCCTTCTTTTTTCCAGGCACTTGGACAGTGGGAGCAGTGAGTGCCCAGACATCAGCGCCATCAAGAAGCAGATCCAGGTCTCGTCCCTCTCTTTTGCCCCCCCCTCCGGGTGTTCTTTGGGGTCTCAGCCCCGCCTGGCAGGTCCTTCCTGGAGCCCTGGCCGTCCAGAGAAAGGACGACAGAAAATCCCCAAAGAAAAGCGGGACAAAATCCCGGCCAGCCTCAAGGGGCAACTGGCTGCAGGGAGAGGGGCTGATGGGGAACTGGGCACCAGGGGAGCCGCCTCTCCCCCCCGCCCCGCAGTGGCTGGGCAGCACCCCGAAGACCCCCCCCCCCCCCCCCGTTGAGAGGAGCTACCCGTGGTGTCCGTTATAGAGAAGGGCTGAGAGTCTGGAGAGAATTTCCTCTCTACAATTGAAGAACCGGGGAGCTGGACTTTTCAGGGGGGCCGTTGGCTCATGTCAGCCACCAAGTTATAGAAATCACAGAAGAACCGAATTGGAAGAGAGACCTTCGGAGGTCTTCTAGCCACCTCTGGAGGCTTTCAAGAAGAGATTGGACGGCCATTTGTCAGAAAGGGGGTAGGGTCTCCTGCTTGGGTGGGGGTGGGTGGGACTAGATGACCTATAAGGTCCCTTCCAACTCAGATTATCTGTTAGTCCAGCCCCCTGCACAAGCAGAAACCCTCTACTATTCAGACAAATGGCTCTCCCCCTCTGGCTATCACGGTCTCCAGAAACCCAACTCCGTAGGAATCGGGCTGCCAGCGTGGCAACGTTTCTCTTGCAGAAAGTCACCCACGAGATGGACCTCTGTTACGGGAAGATGGGAAGCCTTTTCCACTGTGGCTCCCGTCAGACCCTCTTTGCCAACCAGCTGATGCGTTACGCAGACCTCTATGCGGCCTCCTTCGTGAACTTCCTCTATTATCCTTTCAGCTACGTTTTCCGGGCACCGGCGGCTCTGGTAGGCGGGCAAAACCAAGCGGGGGGGGGGGAAACAGGGTGCAGGGGTTGGGCGAACAGACTCCAGGCGCAGCCCAAGGAGCTCCGCGCTGCTCCTTCGGGGGAAGGGGCTCCTTCGGCTGCTCCCGTTGGGGGCCTGAATGGGGACCCTCTTCACTCTCATTTCCATCCGTTCCCTCTCAGATGCCCCATGAATCAACAGTGGCGCATAAAAAAATGGAGGGCACCGAGATGGACTTTATGCGCCAGCTCAGACAGCAGGTGAGCAGACCCAAGCCAGTGTCTTTGGCTCTTTTCCTTCCCTGCCTCTTCTGTGGCTGAGTCGGCAGCTCCAGTTTTTGCCTTTCCCTCATTTCCTGAAGACGATTGGAAAAAAAGGCCCCGTGGCTCCGTGCTCCTCCCGCCCCTGCCAGGAACGGGGTGAGGAGGACCAGGTCCCAAGCTTTTGGCCACAGAGATGCCACTGACCCACTCAGGGCTCCGTCTCGGGGAGACATACTTTTGGGGCACAACAAAACGCAAATGGCATCGTGTACTGAGACCTGGCCCCAGTGGCCATCGTTAAAGGGAGCCCGTGGGTCGCTGAGTGCTTGTTGCAATGGGGCTTTAATACCCAGGTCAGCCACAGGGAGCGCTGTGTCCTCCGTCTGAAAGGAAATTTCCTACCCAGCACCGGAGGCGCCCTCTAATTTCCTAGTTCTGAGAAATGTGCGGAAAGCTGTTCTTCTTACTTTTGCTTTCATTTCTAGATGGAATGAGTTGTACTTGGGAGTCAAGATAAATTGCAGCAGTACAATCAAGATCACTTCACATGCAACACATCCTTAGCCTTTTCAGCTCCCACAATCCAGTTGATGGATGCTTCCACGATTTAATTCTCCCTTCTTCCAAAGATGTATATTTTCTTCTAAAAGGCTTAGGAAAGATTAGAGACGCCCAATGGCAAATGCAGCCCCTGCCACCACCCAGGGCCAAAGCAGCCACGTTCTCCATCTCTCCAGTTGGACCTTTCCCTTCAGTGGGGAGAAATTCCTGGTTGCATCCGGTTACCAGGGACACAGCTGGGTCTTCTGGATGGGAAGGGAAAGGGCAGAACTCAAGTTCCTTAGAGGATTGTAGCGCAGACCGCTGGAGAAAGAATTGACCGTGTCTTCTGCTTCTTCCCTCATCTGGGTTGAACCCACAACTCTACACTTCCAGGTGGTTTGGCCTATAACCCATCCCCCCTCCTGACAAAATAAATACATTTGTGTGACGTCTCCTGGAGCAAAACGATTTCATTGGGGTTAGGGTGGGAAAGAAAGAACTTGTCATATTTATATTTTATCCTGCAGCTCAGAAAACAACTTCTGAAAGAGTTCTTTTAATTTAAGACGACAACCGAGTGGAGAAGTGGCCTAGAGGTGGAGCTCTCTTGCCTCACAATCAGGAGGCTGTGTGTTCCATCCCATTTTGGCTCAGAGTGCTGCAGGAGGCTGCCCAGGCCAAAAACGGTGTGTGTGTGTGCATTTTGGTTGCCAGAGGCCCTGCAGGATGGTCCTCTGCTATTTCCAGGCCAGCCCCGTGGGCCAGATCCGGGCCTCGACGTTTGACATCCTGCCTTAGAGAGTGCTGTGAAGCCCTGTGAAGCGCTATATAAGTCTAAGTGCTATTGCTACTCTCTTATCAGGGAGATTCCAGTGGGGCAAAAGACATCCTTGTAAATAAAAATATTCAGCATTAATATTCAGCCTGCTGAGTAAGTACCATTCAGGTCACTTAGTTTGGGTCATGGAACATCTGCAAGAAAACCACCCTTCCCTTCAGCCCTCAGCTACAAACGCTGCCCTTTTTTGAGATCAATATTTACCTGCTTGCGAGCACTGGGCGGAAACCTGTCCTGACTAGGCTAAAGTGGATTTCTGTAAATTTGTCACTGAACACATTCTAGTAACCCTGCTAACAGCCTTCCGCAAGCAGTCCACCCATTGTGGCAGGAATAGTTCTGCAGCCACAAGGACCACACTTTCCCCTTTTGGAATTGAATTGAATTAACTTGAATTTTACCTTCAATATCAAGCTGTGTAATTTTAATGTGCTAGCACAGGATTACACCTAATATACCGTACCTGGCAAAGTATCTCCCAGAAAAACAAAATAGGTGAGTCCTTGTTGGGTTACAAAACTGCGTATAAAAGAAGCCAGGATTAGCAATTGTTTTTAATGAATCCTCCCCAAAACCAAATAAACAATGAAGAATTCTAAACTACAGATACTAGTTTATTTTCAATCTGTCATTGTTTCACTGTCCAAGATATTTTATCTTCATAACTCATGAGGGATATATTTTGAATTAAATATTATAGCAAGTGTTTAAAGATAGACAATTTTTGGAATAGCAATCTTATGCAAAGAAAGTGTTCAAATAAAAAAAGTGCAACTCTTTTTCTGAATTCTAAATTTTTTCTAAGTTCTAAATTCCTGAAGATGGGATTTACATTCCCCCTCCGAGTCTGATTTCAGTAAAAAAAAAGGCCTTCCGATGCTTGTATTTAACAGGATAGGACGGGGCCTCCTGACTGGCAGTGGCTGACCCACTCGCTTCGGGATCTTCTTTTTTTTGCTTCAAGTCAAAAACCAAAAAGTATATCCAAGAATTAAATGATGGACCTGATGAATTAAAAATGCTGAATTGAGGCAGCTGGATTCTACAAAATGACTCTTAAAAAATACAATCCGTGTTTAAAAATATATATTTCTTGGAAACAAAACAAGGTATATTATACAAAGTTTTCAACTCAATAGGAAGTATTTACAAGTATAATGAATTAAAAACAATCCCGAGATTTCACTAACCCAGGAACTGACCCTTAACTTGGTCGGAAGAACAAATCAAGAGATCATAACAAATAGTGTGTTCTCTATTAAAGTTAATTGGTGGGCTTTATTGACATATCACCCTACTCTCTTTAATGAAGCAGGCCTAGTTAATGAACTGTGTTCAAATTCTTTCTGTACTGTCAGGAAACTGGTAGAAAACGGGGTCCTTGTAAATAGTTTCAGCTATTCAGACGGGCACGGGAATGTGAAGAGGCGAGGGGGGAGGGGGGGGGAGCCTGTGGCTTACAGTTCCTTAAAAACCACAGCTCCCAACATACCTCACCAGTTAGTCATGCCAGCTGGAGCTGCCAGGGCTTGTATTCTGATGCATTAGGTTAGGATACCAGATTCCTCTCTCTTTTCCTTCAATAGATGAGCCCATTTCACGATGTTTCTTTCAAGGCACCAGGAGCTTCCAATTGAAAGTGGCCACACAAAGGCGTTTCAAAAGTCAGCCTCACTGCCCACCGTTCTCTCGTCTCTTCTCAGGGGAAGTGTACAGGAAGTTGCAGCAGATATACAGAGGGAAGACCAGCAGTCTACTGTCCAGATTCATCACTACTTGTTCCTAAGAAGCAAATAAATAAATTGATATCCGACCAAACATAAAAATGCTTCAGAAACCCGGGAAAAAAACAGTTTAGAGAAAAGGCTAGAAATCCTGAAACTAATTTTCTAACATTCTTTAGATTAGATTAGATTAGATTAAACTTCATTGTCATTGCCATGGATACAGGCAACGAAATGCAGTTAGCATCCAGCCAGAAGTGCAAAACAGTAAAATATATGCATGCAAATATGCAAGGCATCTATGAATATGTCAATGGAAAACAGCAAAATGTATGTACACGAGCACACAAAGATAAGCGCGACTCCTGTAACTTCAGAGGCAATTTTCAATCAAGCATCATCCCTCAGTGGAATACGTACAGAAGGAGAAAACCATTATTTCTCTTTTTTCTCTGATTGCATTTTTAAAAAAAAGACTTTCCAGGATTTTTGACCTTTCCAGCACCCTCCACCCAAACAGCAGCAAACATCCTTCCTTCCTGTGCCCAGAAATTTTGGAGTTTGTGAGGAAAGGAATTCTCCCCCATCATTTGAGGAGAGCTGTGATAGACGCTGCATCTCCCCAAGACTTTCTTCTTCGTGTTCTGCAAAAGCAACCTGAGGCTAGTCTCTCCTGCAGGGAGAAAGATGGGCAGCCTGCCAGCTCTGAAGATGTGGCCCAGCTACACCACCTTCTGGACCTTCAGTGGAGCTGGAGCAGCCTCTGGGAGAGGCAGCCTGCAAACAGGGTTGTCACGGGACAACGTAGTTTCAAGATAGCCAAGCATGGAACCCGGTTCACTTCTGTTTATCCCTCCTGCTTCTTATGAGAATCCTACTTTCTGCTCTGACTCTGCTAGCTAAAATGACCCAAAAGCTTTGCACGTACAAACCTGATCTTTTTCGAGGGTTAGTATCTGGTATCCTGCAGTTCTGCTACAAATAAGCTTTCCGCTGCTATGAAAGGAAGCCAGGCGCAGCCTAAGGGCAGAAGAGCAATTACACTAAGTGGTTTCAACATTGGATAAATACATGAATAAATAAAATCAGTGGAGAAAGGAGGTTGTGATTTTTGCCTTGAAGGGAGGGGGGAAAGAATTACTGGGTATGAGATGGTCAGCAAATCAATTTTAGGTGTATATGTATATGTATGTATGTATGTATGTATGTATGTATGTATGTATGTATGTTTTCTTAAGTTTTCGCGGGTACTTACATGTATGTTATTCAGCTTTGTTTGGGTATTTTCCCACGTCATTGTAGTTGTGCTTTTAAAGCTGCTACAACTTTAAAAGCACAACTACAATGACATGGGAAAATACCCAAACAAAGCTGAATACCATACATATGTATGTATGTATGTATGTACACCCACCCACACCCACCCATATAATTGTGTACACAAAAAAGTGACAATAAAGGTTATCTTATAAGTTAAAAACAGATAAAAAGAAGTACCTCTTCTAGTCTGGTTACAGTGCCCAGAACAATGCGCAGCCAACCCAAGAGTCCCTTGGACTGAAAACACACCCAGCTGGCTCCTTAATGGCCCTGGGCGGAAGTTGCTTTTGTAAAAGGTCCAGGAGTCCCTGCGGATTTTACTCTGCTAGTCGCTGCCGACTCTGAGGGGCGATGCTCACCTCGGTTTTGAGGGCCAGGGAGTCCAGGTTGTCTCAAGATGTTTCTGCTGTCAGGTGGCCAGCCTGAGGTCACGGAATGCAGCTACTCCCCACTGAAGTGCTACCTACTTATCTACTCGCATTTCCCTGCTTTCGAACTGCTAGGTTGATGGGCGCTGGGGTGAGAAAAGGAGCTCGCCACGTTGCGTGGCACTCGGGTCTCAAACCTGGGCTGTCGACTTTCCAGCTGACAAGCTCAGCGTTTTTAACCACCCTTGTTTGGTAAAACACACGACACATCTTTGTGCTTGGGAAGAAGACCTGGCCTGTTACCCGTTACCTTTATGGCAATGGTGACGGGCTGCTGTCTGTCATTATCCTAAAAAAACAAACCTCTGTACATCTGCAGGGGTTGGAATGTTATGCCCTGGCAAATACCTTCAGTATTTTTCCCCTCTTGCCCGCCGTTGCTTCAGTGATACTGCTGCGCTTCCCTCCAGCGAAGCCTACAAGAGCAGCTGTGGTTCTCTCACCTCCTCACCGTGGAGAACCAGCCAAAGAAGAGAGGGAACCCACCTGAAAGCGATATTTCTCCGGGGCTGCAAACTGATGGAGCCACTGCAGGGCTGGTTTAGCGTGTTGCGTTTGAAGATAATGTAACGGTTGGTGTATGTGACCAGCAGGTCAAAGCCAAAGTTGAAGCCTGTCCATCGCCAGCAATACTTGCAAGAAGAAAAAGGAAATGGAAGAAATAGTTGCATTCTAAAAGAGAGGCTTGAAATCCCAAACTTAAGTCACCTGCTACAAAGGACCCCCTCCATTCTGACACCTCGTACGGTTTGTGTCACGGAGGAAATTCAAGACGGGTGGTTTAAAAAAGCTACAAGAGCACTGTCATTGTTTTTATATTTTCCAATCACAAAGTATTTAACCTTGTGAAATAATCTAGTTAAGAAAACACCGTTTGGGGGGAACAAACAGCTTACGAAAACTGTAAATGAATTACGCATTTTGAAAAAGGACATGGAAAAATATTTGTGCTTACATCACCATCTTTGGCAAGTTTTCTGCCACACCGCATACTGTTTGCTTCTAGTTCCTCTTTGTTAATCTCTTGAGGCCTTGAACATACAAAATAACTTTCTATAAAATGGCATTCTAGCACAAGAGAAGTATTCTAACTGGTTGCGTACAGATCTTAACGCCTGAATAAATTCACTTTCCCCCAGAAAGTTGTCTTGTTAAGTGTCCTGAAATTCCTTCCCAGCCAACGCACCAGAGTTATCTTCCCCGGGCCATGATAAAATGACCACCTAAGTACATCACGGTTGAGTAACCAGCACCCTAGCAGGACACTAGCAACCCCTTATATACTTTCCCAGAGCAGGGATGACCATGGTGGTTTATGGTGGAGAGAAAGCTGAGGGGGCACAGAAGAGCTGTTTTGCCCAGGGCTTGTTCGTGTCTCTGATACTGGGGTAGTACGTGATGTTCAAAGGAGAAAAAGAGCCACATTCTGCTCTGCTTTCTGACCTCCATGCTCTCCCCAAGCTACAAAGGAGAGTAAGAAGTACTTTCCATGCACTGAAAGCCACCTGGCAAAGGACTTATACCTGCCCTTCAATACAGAGGATGCCAAACTTTAACCCAAGGCTAAAGTGCTATAATGGGAATACCTGAAGAGGATCTATTGGGACTCCCAGAACAGCACCAGAAGTACAAGTACCAAAAATTAAGTTATCAGCTGAAAACTACTAGAAGAGGGATCTTCTCATTGAACTCAAAGGGACACCGCCCACTACAACCATAGTATCTCTTGAGAATTCCTGTTCTAAGAGACTGTACCCTTAGCTTGTCACTTCATTAGAAGAAATCTGAAAATCTTTACTGCAATGTTTAGGTTTTGTTATATTGTGAACAATTGGGAATAATCCACTAACCTGGATTACTTTCCATAATTCAGATGCAAGCGATACATAATTCAGAATTATCCATTCTCTCTTAATTTTGACCTTTTCTTCGTTAGCAATTTCCATTCACTGAAAAGCATATTCTGCTATGCTAGTCCTGCTATGTTATTCAAAATGTCCATTGAAGGCAAAGTCGAAAACTTTTTGGAAATCAAACCATGTAATATTTCTGACTAACTTTTAATAATGCTTGTTGGCAAGCAATATTTTTGGGTGAAAAAAGGCTTTCTCTGCAAAAGGTACTAATTCGTGCAAAACAATTCTATCTGTTTAATATCTTCAGGTTTCATAATATCTTTCACAAATTTATCCAAAATAAGTTCAGATCCTTAAAGTTCTTTAACACACCAAAATCTTTTTAAAAATATAAATTTTATTAAAGTTTTAAAGAGAGGATACAAATTAACAAAAACACAGAAGAAAATAAAGACAAAAATGCAGAGAAAAAGAACAACAAATAGGAAGAAGCAACTTCCAATCTCCTTTGCAGCAAAGGGAGGCATCGTTAGGTCGGTCTCGGTCTCTTACTCTGTATAATACAGTGTAGCATAAAGTTATACCTTACTCTATGATCACCAAAATATCTCGCTTTTTCTATTACCTATTTTTCTGATCATCAAACAATGTTATAAATGTATTTTTTTTCTGTTTCACGCAAAAACCAAACCAAACCCTGTAACTCAGGGGGTGCCCAACCCCCAGGGCTGCGGTCCAGTGCGAGGCTGCAGCCCATTCGCAACCGGGCTGGGCAGACAAAGCTGCACTTGGGAAAGCAGTGCGCATGGAACCGTACCTTTCCCCCCCACAATGCACTGCTGCTGCGGGGCCCCTGAGGCGGAGAGATTGGGGACGGCGGCTGTGACTGTTTCTAAGCTGCCACAAATATCCACGTGGGCTCAAAGAAGTTGCTTTAGCCACCTCTGTAAATTCTACCCTCTCCCCTGAGCCCTCCTTTGTGGTCGGGTGGGGTTGAGCCTTTCCACTTTTGATCATATCATGAAGTTTTGCTGCAACTACACCAAAAATCTTTTGAAATTAGGAACACCTAGGCTGCTTTTCAGTTACTTTATAAAAAAGGCTTACATTGGTTCTCTCCTTATAGGAACATTGCAAGGTGTGTTTCTCAGTCCCAGAGAAAGAGGCATTATACGTACCCAATGTCGTTGTCTTGTTCGGCTCTAAGCATGGCAAACCACTGCTGCTTGTAAACAGAGAACAGCCAGTCTAGAATTTAGAAAGACCAAAGTGGGCCTTTTACAAAAAAAGCAAGAAAGGGAAGGAGCGCTTAATATTTTTACAAGGCTTCTATGCTGTCCCAATCAAAACTGACTCTGAGCCGTTCATTTACCCCTAGATGCAAGTTAAAAAAAACAGAGTCTAAAAACAAATACCGTAGCAAACAAATTCAAATCACTTTATTGTGGTCATTAGCCAGCAGGCCCTGCTGTAAGCCACAAGTTTAGAGAAGGAAGTGGAGGACAAGAAGAGGAAAGGCTATGACCTCCTCCTTTATTCTCTTTCCACACAGTGGGACGTAAGAGAAGTGGAGAAATAATTTAAACCTAGCCAAAAACCAGCTTAAGTGCCGGAAACGAGATTCAATGATTCGCCAATTTTACTACCAAGGCACGTCCACTTGTTGGTGGCACACCGATTGTGATAGGCCTGATTTTACTTTCTCAAGTGTCTGGCACGATAGAGAAAAGAAAACAGGCTATTCCATTCTTACCTGCAGGGATCAGGCTGTCTCGTTCAATAATTCTTGCGGATGCCAGATCACTGACTATATACTGCAGCCTCAGATATTTGAACACGGCTATAAATGCATATCCTTGTTCCGTTTCCAAGAATGAGATCCCGGCCTCAAAATCTGAAAAGTTAAAGCAGATTTTAAAGGGTCCAAATATATTTTTACCGTTAAGGGAAAAGCAGCACTGCAGTCTGTAGGCAGTTTATCAATCCCAACAGAGAAGTAAATTCGGATAGGGTTTAATAGGATTATATCCTGATTTTGCTTTTAAAAGTCAAAGTGACTCAGAGGAAAAACTAGTGGAAGATTATGGTTTATAAATTCCCCATCCCACACAAAAGATATGCATGCTAGGCCAGTATGGAACAGCCCATAATGAAGAATTAGCTGAAGATACGATATATCCTGCTTTGAAGACCTCCAACATGCAAAATATTCACCAAGCACTGATTCATAAAGACCTTTCCTGCGCTTGGAGAACCAGGCGTCTGCTTCACTTAAAAGCTGTTTCAAGGATCCATTCCAAGAAGGCACCAGCTGAAGGAACATCCACTACACAGAAACAAAGGAACAGCTGTAAGGTTCACTTGAGGTATACACCAAGGAGCTAAAGCTTCAGGCGCGCGGTGGTTCACACGGTCAGGATGCCGGGCCAACTCTTGGCAGGCCCACGTTTGAGACCTGGCTGCTGCCATGGAACGGGATGAGTTTCCTTCACACCCTCCAGTTCATGCCGACCCAGCAGTTTGAAAGCAGGCAACTGCAAGTAGACAAATGGGTACCACCTTGGTGGGCAACTTAACGGGGACATGAAAGGAGCCCCCAACTGGGCGTCCCCCAGGCAGCAGTGATGTCACCATTCAATCTTTATAATACCCCAGCGCAATCCCGATACGAATGTAGTAGTAACTAAAGCTTTACACAAACACATATAACATTGGTCTGTAAGAATACTGTCAATCTGGAAGAAATATCAGTGGGGTTTTAAAGGTTATTTTTGCATCATTAAAACAAAACTTGGAGCAAACTGATGTTATTAAATATTGGTACCTTCTTTAGAGCAGTATAGATGTCCATCTCTACTTGCATGACAAACAGGTTAGAGGAACTGATCAGCTGTTTCATGAGGTTTATGCTGAAACAAACAATGCGGCCTTTGAAACGCCAAAAGGCATGACTTGTGTTCTGAATTGCGTTTTATTCCCATAGTGTCTGGGTTAACCCTGAAAACTCTGAAATACCTGAGCTCTTTGAGGAGTTCCACACTCTGATGGGTCATCAGGTTGTTCAAGAGCCACTCAAGACACCTGGATTTAAAACAAGTCAGTCCTTTCACAGCACATAGGCAATGCAACGAGATGCAAGGTCCGTTTCTCCTAAGCCGCTGCTGAGCACTTTCCCCCAGATGTTATAGTAAAACAGGGAGCCCACAGCCATCATATTCCTAAGCCCATCCCATCAACTATGACTGTTGTCAAACCATAATGGACTACATACTGGGATTGTTCTAGTTTTAACTTTTAATTTCCTATACATGCTTCCAATGTTCTGTCATAAATAAGCAGCAAGGTTTCTGCTGAAAAATATCACATGACATGCTTTTCAAAGCCCACATCACATGAAAAAAAATCAAAGGGAAGTCATACTAATTTTATTCCTCAACAAAACCTTTCTTAGTGCCAATACTTACTTTTTTTTCAAAGAATCTAATCCATATGTTCCCGCAGAATTATAGTAACTACACACAGTTTTTGCATTAATTGTTTCCTTCATTGTCTCACCACACTGCTGTATTAAGCCATCCTGTAAACATATAATGATGCAAAATAAATCCTTACTCCCAGGCCTAATGCTACAGGGGGTGCCCTCACCTCAAGCTAGCTGGCAGAAATGCAAGCAATGAATATCTAGAGATATTTTGGCTTCCTCTGGACAAACAGCCATACTACCAGTCTCCACCATGAGTAGACAAAATTGTATTCTATTTGTAACTGAAGGAGAAAAGGGAGTGGCTGGTACCCTGATGTTTAATTTTGAGACCAGAAGCATCCTAACCTTTCTGAACACATTTCTAAGAAGTCCTTGTGCTTGCAGCATCAATCATTCATTTATATGTCCCCACCTAGAAAGGGGAGGAGGGGCAAGAGATAGCGAGAAAATGTCTCTCCCAATTCTGCCAATCAAAATGAGTTAAGAGATATTTTGATACTGCTAAGCATGTGCTTGAAAACACGGCCCTTAGGATATCGGAAGGGATGTGGCAACGACCATGTGCTCATCCCCAGAATACAAATGAAGATAGCAATAGCACTTCTATACCGCTTCACGGTGCTTCACAGCCCTCTCTAAGCGCTTTACAGAGTCAGCCTCTTGCCCCCAACAATCTGGGCCTATCACTTTACCGACCTCGGGAGATTTCGGACTGAAAGCTCTGCACTTTGCCATGCAAAGGTCTGTAAAAGCACAGAGCCATTTCCACTTACCAGCTGTAACATGCTGGCAGCTGCCAGAAGGGCAATGACTCTGCTAGGGTTTATTAATACTTCATCCCGGTAAAGTGAGCCAAAGGCAACCTGTAAGGCTAAAGAAAACCACATCCTAAGGCTTCTCACGCATAGAAAACAAGTTATTTCTCAAATTATTTTACACATAGTAACAAGAAGATGATGCCCAGAATATTAAGAAGTGGTAGATCAGGTGCTATTTTTAAAAAATGTAAAACCTTAAGCAGGACAAATGGTGAATTTAAGTACAGGAGTCACCACATTTGGGGCCGAGCGTAAGCATCTCTCACGCTAGAAAACTCCCATTCGCCTGCAGGTTTCACCAGCTGACGAAGTGGGACAGTGCACAAAGCTTCAAAAACCGATCAAAAAGTAAAGGACGGGCATTTCAATCAGGTTGAAAAATATGCACCCACAATGGCTAAAGGGCAAAAAAAAAAAAGCATTATTGCAATGGGAGTCCTACTCTCTAGGTTGTGAAGTCACTCACACACGTAACCAATGGTCCAAATTTGCAGTACAACATTGGCTTCCTTCCGCACTTTGTTGAAGAAGCTAGCTTCTGAGGGAGCCATGACAAGGTCTTAGCTCATAACAGTGTTAGTAATGCAGACATGTGTTGCTTGAGATATTAATTTCAACGCTTCAGGGAGAAATATGCTCCATACTATTTAATCAATAATGGCAATTTTATTTTCCCCCCTGCCTTCAGCATGAAACTGATTAAAATCTGGTCAATTTCAGGCAGAGTGTTCCAATCAACATCACAGGGCCAGTTTGCTTAACAACTTGGTTGTTAGAACAGAAAGCAGTCACTAAACGAAGACAGGGTGTATACAGCCTGCAACCTGTCCCGAGAATGGCATAAGCTGCCTGTAATTTTGCATAATGATTTTCAGCAAGCTACCTCAATCCTCTCAACAAAAGCCACAACAAAATCTTACATTATACTGAAGTTTCATTGTGGCAGGAATGAACAGTTATGAAATTAAATGTTAATTCTTTTTATATGCTGATAGTGACAAAGCATTAGGAAAGCATTTATCTCCCAGACCATAAAAATGTGATTTTCATAATTTGCTGTTCATTTATAATGAAAACTATGAAACTTTTATTTAGAAAGAGTCCAATGTGGATTCCTTGCTTACCTTCTATGTCAATATTCTGATCAGGAATTTCCAATTCTATTGTGTCCATTCCTGATTCTTTCCAAGACCCACTGAACATACTTGAAAAGTAGCCAGACTACAAACGGAAAAATCATGTTTTTAAATAATTGTACAACCCTTGGAATTAAAAGATTTTACATAAGAAGTTATATCACAATATTATTTTCATAGCAAAAGGAACTAAGATAGTTACCCTTGAATTAAATGTTCTATTTGTCCCTCCTAATTTGAAGATACATTTCTTAAATTTCAATCTTGGTTATATTCTGAACCAATTGCTTCACTTGCCTACCAATCCCCCTCATCTCCATGCACTGGTTTTAATACTTTGATCTGAACTGAATAGGTTTTCATTGCATCTAAAATGGGAAACAATGGAATGATTGCTCCAGGAACTAAAACTAAGATTGGTTAGTAAACTAGCATTAAATCGCAGGTTATCAACTTGGCTGTAACTGCGGCTTACTTACACTGGAACTGAAACCGGTATCCAATGTGAAGAGAGAGGGGGCCAGGCCAAACCTGTGTTAGAATTTATTTATACAAGTGGACAGATTCCATCCAAGAAAGATAAGTGATCAGAAAAAAATACAACAGCATCCAAAATACATACTACTATCTAAACCTTGGCCAAAACTTCCCGCGGCCACAATTATATATAGGTATTGAAGGAACTACATGCAACACATACAATTACTGGGAGGAGAGAGGGAGTATTATACTATAGATACGTTGACATTTCTATAAGCACACATACAAGTACATAAATTAATACATACAGTACATACACTTAGATATACCTTTTCATTAAAGTGCATTTCTTATAAAGCTAGAAATAGCTAGTATTTGATCCAATGAGGAGAAAAATACTGTTTACTAGAAGTTCACATCCCAGCTGGAGGTGACTCATTATGAGCTGCTATCACTCACTGATGTTTAGCCTGAGAGATTAAAAAAATAAAAGCTATTTGTACAGCAATATTCTTCTTGTTCTAGTTCCTTAAGCCCAACAAATCTGTATTATTCATAAATTGTGTTAATATATTATTAGCTCTCTGCTGCTCTGATATGTACAGCAATGGAATATTGTGACTGCAGACTAATATTTCTCTAGCTGCTGAATTTCAGCTTTCTCGACTTCTGACCAGAATTGGGACCAGAATTTTGGTCGTAAATCAAGTCTTCACATGACCAGATCAGATTTTATGGCCATTTTTACAAGGTTTATGAATGAAATCACATGGTCATTCAGGAAATCCAGCTTTCCCAACTGCTGTCAGAAGCTGGCTGGGAAGATCACAAATCATGATCACATGCACCCAAATTGTGACCATGCGGATGGTGCAACAGTTGTAACTTTGGGGGTAGGTAATAAGTCACATTTTTCAAGACCCTCATAATTTTGAACCACCACGGAAAGATCATAAATTGAAGATTGCCTGTAATACTCATACATGTAAACATGGTTTGCTTAAGCACCATTATTAAACATTATAAAGTTGGATGTATAAACTGTAGGTTTGAAAGGCCTCTGAACGGCAGAAAAACAACCTGGCTTAATAGCGCCTGGGCTGAGTCTCAAGGAGAACCACACAGTACCTGTGTTTCCTGGACCTCATTCAAGGCAGCAGAACTCTGCGTTTGAGTATTAAACAAAAGGTCTGAAGCTGCTTCCTAATGATAGCGGAGATCCAAGAAAGAAAAAGGAAAATTTTACCTGACAGAGGTATATCTTGTGCAAGTTCCATTCTTCTCCCAGGGCGCATATTTTAACGTCACTGTTTTCACCATTCAAAAACAGAGTCTGATAAATATATTTTGAAGTGCTTTTTAGCTTTTTCCTGAGTTAGAAAAAAAACATGTGTTGCATTCTTACATATATATGATACAAATACCAAGAAAAACATCCGTAGCTTACTCATCTGTTGCACTGTAGAGTTCTTGAGGCTCTCTCAGCTAGGCTGTTTGCTTGCAGACATTTCATTACCGAATTACTTAACGTTATCAGTGTGAGGGAGTGTGTGTGTGTGTGTGTGTGTGTGTGTGTCTCCTGCCTGTTGATATATACTGGTAGTAGCTTGCTTGCAGAAGAGGTCTGGTCCCCCTGTCCCCCATGTGCCTATTTGCTTAAGAGTATTTCTTCTGCATAATTATTTGTCTACTCTAGAATAAATTCTGATTTTTCTGAATATTGGTTGCCAGAGAGAAAGTGTTCCAGTCTGTTTCCTTCACTGGTTTATTTATTTTCTTGTTTGATAAAATCTCTTATAAAGGTGGTGTATCTATAAGCTGCTACATAAAAATGAAGAACAACCCCACACTCATTCCCCCTTGATGATGTTACCTAGTTGGGTCAAGAAACGTCTCTAAGTAACCAACCAAGCTCAGAAGCACCAAGAAGTCCATAAAATTATATTCTAATACACCTTTGAGATTATACATAATCTAAGATTATGTAAGATTAATGTAAGATTATACATAATCTTGGGGGCTTTTAAAGGCCCTCTAATCAATTCCTCTGCGAGCATCCTTCCATTTGATGGGATGGCTTTCCCCCAATTGTAACTGACCAGCGAATTTCAGGGTCAAAAAAATTGGGGAGCCCCTTTCCCCAGGTTTTATTCAGAAGCTTTCCATAGTTGTGGCTGACTTTATGGGCGGCCCTTTCACAAAACCGGGACTTCAACGGAGCCAGTTTGGCTTCCTTATTAAAAGGCACCAGGCCGAAAAGCCCGGAGGCGGCGGCGAGTTCCAGTCCCGCCTCAAGCCATGAATGACGTTTGGGTGACTTTGGCTCAGCGCCTCTTTCTCTGCCCAGCCCACCTTGCAGGGTTGTTGTGGGGGAAATAGGTTGGAAAAATACGGAACTTTTCCCCAACCTGGAGTTACTTGCACAGCTAACAAAGGTGGGAGAAAAAGCCTCCGTGTCCATGAAGCAAAAAGGCAGCAGCATCTGCTGGGAAGAAGAGGGAAACCAGACAGTCCCTTGCCTGGAATGGGATAGGGTCTCCTGCTTGAGCCCAGGGGTGGGTGGGGCTGGACTAGAAGACCTCCAAGGTCCCATCCAGCTCGTTCATTCTAATGGTGAGGACAATCAATCCGTGGAACACCTCCAGAAACTGTAGGAACTCCATCACTGGAGGCTTTTAAGAAGAGACTGGACAGTCACTTGTCTGGGATGGTATATATATATAGGGTCTCCTGCTTGAGCACGGGGTTGGACTAGAAGACCTCCGAGGTCCCTCCCAGCCCTATTCTGATGGAGTGAAATGGTCTAAAGGCAGGGGTCTCCAACCTGGGCCACTTTTAAGACTTGTGGACTTCAACTCCCAGAATTCCTCAGCCAACCTGGGCCACTTT